AAATCATTCAGCTATATAAAAAAGAAAAGAAAATATTCATTAACATTTCTATTATTTTGTAGGACCATCACGTATGACAAATGGACACACTAAACGTTCTACTAATATAACGCGGCCCACATTAAAACTTCGGATATCTAGATCTGCAGTACCTAAAAAATCGAAAGAAAGTGAAAGTGAAGCCAGTGACTCAGAAGCTTCCACAGAAAGTGAAAGTAGTGGTAGTGTACCTGTAAGAAGGACACGAGCTAGGAAAACAGTACCTAGTGTTAGTGCTGATAGTGATTCTGGAGAAGTATATACACCTAGTGGACGTGGTAAACAAACCCGGAAAAATCGTGCAAAAAATAGCAAAAATAGTAAACAAGTAAAGTCAAAGTCAAAGCTAAATTTGTATGAAAATTCGAAAAATAATTATGAAGCATTTTCTACAAATGAATTATCAGATGACGAAAGCGAAGAGGAAGTCATTAATAAAAGCAGAACCAGATCACGAAAATTAGTATCTACACCCGAACATGAGAATAGTATAAAAAACACTACAAAAAGTGGAAGAAATAATACTGAAAGTCAGAGTGAAGAAGAAGAAGAGGAAGAAGAAGAGGAAGAGGAAGAGGAAGAACAATCTCAAAATGAAATTAATAACCAGGATTCGGATAGTGAGGAATCAGATAAAGGTTTTGTATCATCAAGATCTCAAAGAAGAATTCGTGCAACACGAGAAATACAAAATCGAGAAACTGTACAAAATTCAAGGAGAACTGGAAAACGACCTCGCTATAATGAAGAAAGTGATGAGAGCAATACGGTGCCAGTTAGAAATCGACGTAAAATTAAACGTCGATATTATGCAGAAGAAAGTGATGAAAGTCTCGAACCTGAAAATGTACCACGCATTAGTATAAGTAGTAGAGGACGCGTACGCAAAATGACGGAACGAGCACGGGCTTTTCTTTTAGATTCACCCTAACAGCATCTTTCATGCTAGTAATAAAAGTGTAAATTATCTTTCGAATAATTCTTACAAATGTTTGAAAATAATGTAAAAATTAAAGATGTTATTTGATAATGTTTATTCTGAAACATTCGACTGTATTCATATTTTTATTTACATTTATTATAGCATTATACTAAATTTATGTATGTCAGGATATATCTCTTGAAAATTTTAGAATAAGATTATAGATAGACTGTACGTATAAACACTTGAGATTGTCATAGCAATTCATTATAAACACTGCTACAAAGTACTTCCATTATTACGAAGCACATTGATAATGTTACTTTTTTTATGTTTAAATACATAAACAAACAGTGTATAAGACAAATTTATTTAATAGCAAGCGGAAACAGTGTATAATATTCTTTTATTTCACCAGCATACTTTTTATACATGTCTCGAAATTTTACGATATTACTAGTTATTTGCAAAATACTTATTGTAGTTTTAACTTACACATCATTCCCAATACCTAGAATGAAATAGCGACTAAATCGTTGTACAATTATTTTTGCAAAATATTTTGAACTGTTGTTGATATATATTGTTTAAAAATACTAATAGAAGATTATTCTTTACAAATCCTGAATTTCTATACAGTAATGACAGAAAAAATGAAGTGATGTATGATAGTGTTTATATTACATTGTTGAAAATATGTTATTGTACCTGGAATAACATAAAGAAAATGCCGATCTTGTTCAGGGAACATAACTTTAAGCTTATCTTAACAACTTTAACTTTTGCTTTCTTGAGAAAAAGTCAATTGACAAATGAAAAGCTACTTTCATGCTAAGATCTTAAATAGATGAAAAAAGGCATTATCTAATTATATACGCTATTGATAAAAATAATCTGTATCAGTGTTTATGTTTCATGAAATCACACAAATAAATTTATATTATAAATTCTTTTAATAACACTGACAAATGAATTTAGTATTTGCATATTTGTACATTTTTCTAATAAAATAATGTTTCATATGTTCTAATACAAAATAAAGTTGATTTTAGATCCATTGAATGTACAAAGTAAAATATTAGTTTATGTGCATACTTTTAATATTCATCAATTAAATCAAGTGTTTGTACATTGAAAGAAGAATTGTACTTATCATTCATATTTTGTAAATTATATTAAATGAGGCAGTGCCTTTGCATATATGATTATTCATTTAAAGAACATGAATAAAATTCTTGTTGTTTAAAAGAATAATCGCACAAAAATTAAATTTCTTTTACTTAAATAAAATTAATTCAATAATGGCACTGTTTTCGCTTTTTACAATTACACTTAAAATATATTATTTGTAAATATAAACACAATGTAAAATGATTGCAATCTTTTGTTAAAATTATGTAAAACAAATGTGTGCTTTACATGATCTGTAGTATGAAGTAGTAACTTTTTACATGTAATTTGTATGTCCGTTAGAAAATTAAGAACCAATGCTCGTGCGATTTTAGGAATTTTTCATATATAGAAATAGACATTTTTCAGATTTATATAGCATAAAAAATTAATTCACTTACTATATAATAAGATACAGGTTTTTCAAGACAGTTATGCAATCGGCAAACTAACGTAGTATAAGGATATGTGCACAAATATTGGAAGTCTTGACTGTCTCGAGCAATTGTGATATTAGCTTAAGAATAATAAACAGAAAATGATATAAATAATAATAATTAGAAATATAACGGATATTTTTTTAATAACGCCTTGAAGAAAAGGAGTCATATCATGTGGACTCAAGAAGTCAAATATCTGATTATATTATAATTTAATATTAATCTTAACTTTGATCATTTAATTATATTATTATTAACATGTTTCATATCTTAATCTCCAGAATTAATATAATTTTGTGTATATAAATATTGTTAAATAACAAAACTTAACAGGACAGCGTTAGTTTCGATTTATGTAAAGTTTAAAACTTTAGTTGTGAAACCAATGTATTCTGTTGCATACTTAGTTTATCGAAACCCACCGTCACCAATAAAAAAATATTAAATTGTTTCATACTTGTTTCTTATTTGGAAACCTGTTTTTAGTTAAACCATAATTTTATATACATATTATACAATTGAATGTAAAGCTTTATTTTGATACCAGATGGCACTTTTGCATGATTTCTTTTGATAAATTGTTAATCTTATATAAATATTCTGAATCTTATATAATAAAATTAGTGTTATCTTTTAATATTATTACAATAAACTTTGTTAAAAAATATTTTTTTAAATTATGAAAAATTATATCTAAATCTTGCAATTTCTTAAATATATTTTATTAATATATATATATATTATAATTAGAGGTTAGTAAAATTAAATATAATATATATTGTATATATATATA